CAACTTGCCTGCCCACACCGGCCCTGCCCGTCTCCATAGTTGGGAGCCTTGGCACGGGTGGAGGCATCCCGGGGACCGAGTCCCCTGCCACGTGGTATTGCGGTGGCCTCTGCTCTCCAGCTGCTTCTTGTCAGAGCCCGGGAGCTGCCCACCTCTGTCCTCATAGCTCTCAGGACAACCTCGTGGCAGCCAGGTGAGAAGTGGCACTCAGTGAAGCAGGGAAATCTCCCAAGGAGGGGACGAAGGGCGGCTTTGCTCCCCCACCTCCTCTCCCCTCTGCCCCCCACGCTGCACGCGGCGGCCCCCCTCCCCTCTGCCCCCCACGCTGCACGCGGCGGCTCCCCCACCTCCCCTCCCCTCTGCCCCCCACGCTGCACGCGGCGGCTCCCCCACCTCCCCTCCCCTCTGCCCCCCACGCTGCACGCGGCGGCTCCCCCACCTCCCCTCCCCTCTGCCCCCCACGCTGCACGCGGCGGCTCCCCCACCTCCCCTCCCCTCTGCCCCCCACGCTGCACGCGGCGGCTCCCCTCCCCTCTGCCCCCCCACGCTGCACGCGGCGGCCCCCATGGCCTGAGGTTCTACAGGGAGAGGGAGGGTGACGAGGGCATCAGCGGGCCTCTCCTTCTGATCACTCACCGCTGCCCTGTCAGCCTGCAGACTCTGCAGCGGGCTACCCACGGTCCGTGAACCAGCAACCGGTGAACGGCTTGCCGGGCAAAGCCCGTCTGGGCAGAAGGGCAGAAGTGGCCCCTCCTTCGAGCGTACTTTCACCTGTGGAAGAGTGTGACGTCATCGGGAACCAGGGATGCCAGCAAAGAGCAGAACTGTGCTTCAGCGGCCTCCTCTCAACAGGCAGAGACCTGCAAACCGCCTATCACAATTCTACACAGTCCTCGTGAGGAATCCCAACGGTAGGCAGCCAAATAAAATGAGAAAAAAAGGTGGGAGCAAAAGACAAGCTGAACCAAGAGATAGAAGCATAAAAATAGGCACCCGAGATTCTTAACTAAAACACAGAAAAAATGAGCTAAAAATCCAAGAAGTGGAAGAAGGGATGGACAGGCTTCGAGACAAGACACTCGGAGTGTCCCACCAAAAGGAGGAAGGCTGTAGAAAGCTAGGGGACCCATGGAGCACCGTCGAGACACTCAATACAGATGTATAGAAGTTCCAGGAGAGGGAAAATATACTGATTTAAATAAAGGTTGAACTTCTCAGTCTGAAGGTGGGACATAAACAACCTAATCCATGACTCCTAAAGGCTCACAGACATGCTGTCTCTGAAAACTGCTCACAAGGGCATACGCGTTGTTTGTTTTCTTGATAATGGTCCTTCTCACTGGAGTGGGTGGAATCTCAGCGCGGTTTTGATTTGTATTTCAGCCTTTCTTCATGTGTCTGTTGGCGTTTTTCCGTCTTCTTCTTCGAAGACTCTTCAGCCCATTTACTGCTTGGGCTCCTGGTGTCTGAGGGTTTCGAATTTTACATTTTCTCTGCACGCTGGATGTTGGGCCATCATCTCATGTGTTGCCAGCAAAACGTTTCCAGCCTGCCTTTGCCGTGAAGACACGTTTTAGTCCGATGCAGTCCCATTGAGCCAGGCTTCCTTTGATTTGCCGTGCTTCTGGATCTCTATTCAGAAAGTCCTACCTGGGTCCGGGAACCCTCGTATTTCCCCTGTAGAAACAGACAATAGTAAGTGCTGGCAAGGACATGGTCCAAAGGGAACCCTGGTCGCTGTTGGTGGGAATGTGAACTTGTTCCACCACCCTGGGAGACAGTGCAGAGGCTCCTCCAAAAATTGAGCAGGTTGCAAACTCCTTGAAGCCCAGACCAACAATGCCCCCAGAGTAAGTGTACGGGAAACTTGGTTAATTACGTGTAGTGCAGAGGTTAGTACGTTCTGATAGCAAACCATTCAGCATGGCAGGCAGGGGGTGAAAAAATAGTTTCTGTGTGGAGTTAAGGTTGTGGTTGTCCCAACTACTAGAAATGTTATGCAAGAAAGAATGCTGTAGGAGTTTAGGACACTGTGGCTAAGGTGAAGATGCTATTTTGAATAGCAAGTTGTAAACTGAGTTTTCTTGATTCTCTCAAAATAGTCAATGCCAGGAATTGGATTTGCAAGATATTATTGCTGCAAGAAACAGCTCAGATCCGGGAGGCCAGGCTTTTGGCACCACAGGGCACTGAGCCCAAACGTGGGCAGCCGACACTCAATCCACTCCCAGCAGCTTGCTGGTGCCCCCCGGTTGACCTGAGTCTTAATTGAAATGACAACCTAGATTTTGGATAAAACAAATCCAGAGAGGAAGGACCAACATGGCATAGTGATCGTGATGCAGAACATTCATGAGGCTGAAACAATGATTGCAGGAAAAAATATCTGGGGGAAATATGCCTGCTCCTCTCCCGTGCGCGGTTTTGAGACTGTGGCATTGAGTAAAAGAGGCTCTTCCTCCTTCCTCACAGCCAGATATTCTGGCGGTGTCTGTGTTCTGTAGCTCAATAATCCGCCTCTGGAGATGAAGCCAAATATGCCGAGCCTGAGGAAACTCCTGACACTCCACATCCAAAGCAACAATTGCTTCACACACACGGTCTTTATTGGAGGATTGCTTTGCAGCAAAACACTTTTGCAGTCATTTTAAGCAACAATTAGGGATTCAAACCTGATTTAGAACTCCATCACATGTAGTGTTCCCAATGCAAATGACACAAATGGGGTGAAAAATCAGATGAGCACTCAGTGTCCACCTCAGGCTAGAAAGAGCAATGAGCACTATAAACTATGTCACACTGCCTTCGCCGCTGCAGGCTGGCGGGTTTCTTCTGGAATTGCAAGAGTCCTCCTGCTTACGCTCTCTTCAAAACAAAACACATTGCAAACCTCGTAGCGTTCCCCTGAAATAAACGTACTGCAGTTTTCTTATAAACAGGGACGCATGGGCTTGTCTTTCTCACGGGCTTGTGCATTGAAGGAGCCCAGAGATCGTTTTCGGAAGAAACCTTAGACTTGCTGTGCAGAGACGGCGCAGAATCCTGTTTATCGGCGGCAAAAACAGAGCGTGTGGGTGGGTTTCCTAAAGGGTGCCCTCAGTCTACCCCTCGTAACCACACCAGCGGGGAGCCAACACCTGGACTGCGTTAATTTGGCAGTTTCCAGACTCCTCTCCTTTTGTGATGGTTGCACTGCAGTTTCCCCTCTTAGGTGCTTTTGGATGCCTTCATTCACCCGGGAGGAGTGCGGGGCTCTGTCCCACGGTGTGACTCAGCACGGTGTGACTCAGCACGGTGTGAACGTGGTCAGTTCCCACCGCTATGCAGGCATCTTTGTCACTGGGATATCAGGAATCTCCTGCTCTGGTTTATTTTGCTCCTTTTTGGGGCACCAGGTCCTTTAAAGAAACCTCACAATTCACCCTAGACACGTGCTCCCGATCTTCAGGCACCCCCCCCCCCCGCTTCATCCGACCTCCCTCCCTGCCCTCAGCCTCCCCCTCCCCCCCAGCTTCATCCGACCTCCCTGCCCTCATTTCTCCCACACATCCACTTCTCGCCCTCTTCACAGTCTTGTGACGGTGTGCGCTGGTATTCTCCTGAAATCTTTTGGGAAACAAGGGATCAGACACTCACAGAGGCTGTGTCTGGCAGCTGCCTTGGTGCTCTCAGTCTGATCAGCCCTCAGTGGAGTCTCTCGGAGGCGTTCACTGGAAGAGGTGGCATGGGTGCTTGAGGACTGGGGAGGAGCTGCCCACGGTGGGGCGCGTGCTCACCGTCCATGCTCAAAGGATGCGTGAGGACGCAGCTCAGGGCTGCACTGCGGTTCTGGAGGAGGCGCGCAGAACAGGGAGGGATCAGAGCCAGGCTCTCTGAGGAGTGTCTGTTGCCACCCAACATTTAGCTCTACAGACATACTGTGGACAGGAGCCCCTGGGAGAGGCTGAGGGACGGCCCGGCAGAAGGCAGGATGGAGCCTGGGTGGCAGGAGGAAAACAAGGGAGGACATGGGCCACACACCTTCCCTGAGCTGGGAGCCCCTCCCTGCCCCCTCCCCCCTCTGTCCCCTCCCCCTGTCCCCTCCCTCCCCCCCCCCCAGCCCTGTCGAATGCTCATTGCTTATTAAGTTGTATATCTTAACATGAGTTTTAAATATGGACAAATTCATCTCCTTCAGGTATTGAAGAAGTAGAAGTAAATACAAAGCAAGAGTGCACGTGTAAACCCATATCCACACGTAAACCAGGTGTTTCTATTTATCTCCATTTTCCACAGCTAGGGAAAATTCAGTCATGTTCCAAAGACAATTCTGAAGAAAACCATTGGCAAATTATGGATAATAGAGTCCAGTGTTAAGTTGGAAAAGTATATGCAGTCATGAAGGTTAACTGCTCCTCTTATAATTATGCAATGCTACATTCTGTGTGTTTGTGTTTAACATTCACAGGGCTGTGGAACCTATGCCTTTGCTGTTCCCCAAGCACTGGATGCCCAGACTCCACAGCCCAGGTCAGGTTGAGTCTGTGTCCTGTGGCAGCTCCCCGAGCAGCTCCCGGGCACCAGCGTGGCGGGCAGTGCTGGCCGATGGGACCCGCATCCTGGTTCCTGGGGTCATTGAGCTGTGCATAGTTAAGAGCTGTCACTCACCCTGATCCTACCCCAGTATTTAGTATTCAGTTATTCACATTCATTCAGTGATGACATTTTTATTGAAGGTTTATGTCTTAAATCTTCAGAATAGGAACGAAACATTTTATCTCCTTTCTACAGAAGTACAGCTCAATGTTTTATAAATACTTAGTGGCGGAGTATTTACACTGGGGTTGGTTTGTTAGAACTATATCAGAATGTGATTTAACATTTTGCATTAAGATCTAGAAGAATTCAGTTTGTGCCCTGTCCTGGGACCTCACCACCCACACAGCTTGTGAGTTTCCGTTTGCTGTGTGGAACCTGCCTGTGAATCCTGGGTCGTGCTCCGGGTAGGCAGGTGTGCAAATATGTCGCCCTTCACGTTACCCTTGATGGTGAGAATGACGGAGACATGAACGAGCAGTTAGTGCAACGGTCACAAGCCACACCTTTTAAAGCCACACTTTCCCACTTTTAATCCATTTTGTTTTCACCTGTGCGTGAGTCATAATCCTTATGTGACTTATGAAATCATTGGTTTATAGCCTGGTATCATCTCTTCGCATTCAACTTCAGAGGCTTTTGTAATATTGCTCAAATACAGGGGCCTAGGTGTACATGCTAGTCACAAACAGAAGCTGTTTTCCGACTAAAATGATGCAATCCAAGTTTTCTAAAATCTCCTCTGGTTAGAGTATTTATTAATAAAGAAAAATGTGACACAGTAATTGTGAAAATGTGAAAAATTCAGGCTACCAAGCAGAAGTTGATTTTCAGGATTGCACAACGCATGTTCTCATTATCAGGATGCAGAATGTTGCTGCCACTCTGGAAGTCTGTTTGGGAGTTTCATCAAAACAACAACCACAGCAGCAGCAACAAACTGAACGTGTGCCCAGCGTGGGATCCACACCGGCATGTGAGGTCATGGTGGACTTAGTCACAAGATAGGAGGTAGCAATGATCATTCTGTCTTCCTGCGATAAAATGTTAGTAACTAATAAACGGCAGCCCAGCTCTCCATAAAAGTGTGCATAGCAGCATAGAGGAAGGCACTATGGATGGAAACAGACACAGCCAGGTGGGTGAGGACAGCAGTGTGCTGGGTGCGGCCTCCTCATCGAGGCCTCTCCGCGGGGTGGAGAGTGGCTTCCCAGGGCCCGGGAGGGAGGAAGGAGGCGGGCAGGGGTGCCGGAGGGCTCAGCCCAGTAAACCACTCCCTCCCCTCACCTGTGCAGGGACTTGGAAGGCCTTAGTCCACTAGTGTTATCAACACTTCCCTTAGTTTTTAGCTCCTGCTGCCATACAAAGAAAATTCAGAACACCTTATTCCGTGGTAAACAGAGCCGGGCTTAGAAAGCCTTGGACATTACGTGTGAGTTTTCAAATAAGTATAGAATTGACTTTGTGGCAGAAAGGGCCATTTTGTCCCTGTGACTAGCACATTCTCTGCAGCACTGCTCGGGACGGGGAGGGGCATGCTGTTTGGTGGGGAGGGTGTGCTGTGTCCCCAGGGCATCTCCAGATAACGCAGTGGTCACTGGGCTTGAGTCCCAAGTCCTGCAAAGGAACATGGCCAACCTGGCTGGCCGGCCTTCCTCTGTGAGCAGGTCACACTGCCCCCTGGGTTCGGGGATGGCTGCAGTTTTAACTCAAGTCCTTCTTAGTGGGAGAGCTTCGGGTGCTCCCTCTTCCTTCCCCCTGCCCCTCCTGCTGGACCTTAATTTGGCTCACTGAGGTCTTCACGCAAAATGAAGAGGAGCTTTCGGACGCTGGCCGTGTTTTCCAGGTCTGTACCGTCCCAAATGACTTCATGGGAAATGTCAGCCTCTGGATGTCCTGTGGGAGCCGGCTTCTGGGTGTCTCCAGCTACCCAGAGCCCGACCTGCTGCGGAAGACCACCGGATGCGGGATGACCCACAGCCCACAGCCTGCACCCACCGCGGGCACGGCGGCTGAACCCCCACAGCCCCACCACCGCAGGCACGGCGGCCGAACCCCACAGCCTGCACCCACCGCGGGCACGGCAGCCGAACCCCACAGCCTGCACCCACCGAGGGCATGGCAGCCGAACCCCCACAGCCTGCACCCACTGCGGGCACGGCGGCCGAACCCCCACAGCCTGCACCCACCGCGGGCACGGCGGCTGAACCCCCACAGCCTGCACCCACCGCGGGCACGGCGGCCGAACCCCCACAGCCTGCACCCACCGCGGGCACGGCGGCTGAACCCCCGCAGCCCCACCACCGCGGGCACCGCAGCCGAACCCCCACAGCCTGCACCCACCGCGGGCACGGCAGCCGAACCCCCACAGCCTGCACCCACTGTGGGCACGGCGGCTGAACCCCCACAACCCCACCACCGCGGGCACGGCGGCCGAACCCCACAGCCTGCACCCACCGCGGGCACGGTGGCTGAACCCCACAGCCTGCACCCACCGCGGGCACGGCAGCCGAACCCCACAGCCTGCACCCACCGCGGGCACGGCGGCTGAACCCCACAGCCTGCACCCACCGCGGGCACGGCAGCCGAACCCCCACAGCCTGCACCCACTGTGGGCACGGCAGCCGAACCCCCACAGCCTGCACCCACTGTGGGCACGGCGGCTGAACCCCCACAGCCCCACCACCGCGGGCACGGCGGCCGAACCCCACAGCCTGCACCCACCGCGGGCACGGCGGCTGAACCCCACAGCCTGCACCCACCGCGGGCACGGCAGCCGAACCCCCACAGCCTGCACCCACCGCGGGCACGGCAGCCGAACCCCCACAGCCTGCACCCACTGTGGGCACGGCAGCCGAACCCCACAGCCTGCACCCACCACGGGCACGGCGGCCGAACCCCCACAGCCTGCACCCACCGTGGGCACGGCAGCCGAACCCCCACAGCCTGCACCCACTGTGGGCATGGCAGCCGAACCCCCACAGCCTGCACCTACCACCGCGGGCACGGCGGCCGAACCCCCACAGCCTGCACCCACCGCGGGCACGGCAGCCGAACCCCACAGCCTGCACCCACCGAGGGCATGGCAGCCGAACCCCCACAGCCTGCACCCACTGTGGGCATGGCGGCTGAACCCCACAGTCCCACCACCGCGGGCACAGCAGCCGAACCCCCACAGCCTGCACCCACCACGGGCACGGCAGCCGAACCCCCACAGCCTGCACCCACTGTGGGCACGGCAGCCGAACCCCCACAGCCTGCACCCACCGCGGGCACGGCGGCTGAACCCCCACAGCCTGCACCCACTGTGGGCATGGCAGCCGAACCCCCACAGCCTGCACCCACTGTGGGCATGGCGGCTGAACCCCCACAGCCTGCACCCACCGCGGGCACGGCGGCTGAACCCCCACAGCCTGCACCCACCGCGGGCATGGCGGCCGAACCCCACAGCTTGCACCCACCGCGGGCACGGCGGCTGAACCCCCACAGCCCCAACACCGCGGGCACGGCGGCCGAACCCCCACAGCCTGCACCCACCGCGGGCACGGCGGCCGAACCCCCACAGCTTGTACCCACCGCGGGCACGGCGGCCGAACCCCCACAGCCTGCACCCACCGCGGGCATGGCGGCCGAACCCCCACAGCCTGCACCCACTGCGGGCACGGCGGCCGTCCCCGGCCCGACTCCAGTGGTGCTGTCCCTCGCGGCATAGACTAATCAGTGCCTCTCCTGAGACACCCGAGTTGACACGCGGACGTGAACCTCCGGCCCTGCTCCGAAGCCTTTCTTGTGTGGGAGAATTCCAGGGTTCAACCTCGGAGGCTCCGGAGCTTCTCTGCGGTCGGGAGAGCCGAGTGCGGTTCGGCCCCAGGCCGGCGATGTCCCTGGCCCCGGAGGGCAGCCCTGGCTGGGCTGTGGGGGAGCAGAGCTGCGCTTGTTGGACGGCCGGCGCTGTTAGGGGAACGCCTTTCGCTGGGTGGTATTTTGCCTCATCCCATAGCACAAGCTTTGCCCGCACACAAACTCTCTCCAGCCTGGCCCGGCCAGACCTCCACTGGTTAATGACCCGGCTCTGTGCCCAGAGGGGCCCAGGGGCCCCCGCGCCTGCCCCGGGTGCTGCAGGGCCATCTCCAAACGCCACGCAGGGCTCCGCCAGCGGAGCAGCCAAAATGAGTGCTCAGGTGTCTGGGGGACCCTGGGCAAGGCCGGGGAGCTCGTCACCGCCGTGCAGTGCCAGCGGCCAGCAGGAGCGGAGGCTTTGTGGAGGTGCCTGTGTGCCAGCCCTCAGAAAGGATGACACACATGATGCAGAGCCGCAGGGCTCTGCACTGAGCAGCCAGGGCTGGGCAATGCCCGTGCTGCCCTGCGCTGTCCTGCCCGTGCCCCGCGCCTGCCCCGCCCCGTCCCAGCCCCGTCCCATCCCAGCGCTGCCCCCCCCACCTGCCCCACCCCATCCCAGCGCTGCCCCCCCGCCTGCTCCCCCCCGTCCCAGCCCTGCCACCCCCCGCCTGCCCCACCCCGTCCCAGCCCTGCCACCCCCCCGCCTGCCCCACCCCGTCCCAGCGCTGCCCCCCCCCCGCCTGCCCCACCCCATCCCAGCCCTGCCCCACCCCCCGCCTGCCCCCCCCCCCGTCCCAGCCCCGTCCCAGCCCTGCCCCCCCCGCCTGCCCCCCCCCCCCCCGTCCCAGCCCTTCCTGCCCCATAGGCCCAAGCTCTGAGTGCGGACCTCACCCAGTGCCTTGTTGGGCACATGTGACCCCTCCTCACTGTCACCTTGGTGACCAGTGGAAGGACAGAGCAAGAAGGCTAAGTGGACCAGCAGAGCAAGCTGTGAGAAGAGCATTGGGTTGGGGGGGGGTCATGGAGCCGCTGAGCTCCGTGACCCAGGCTCTCCCCTCAAGGCCACTTCCCGCCTCATGACTGCTCCTCACGGAGCTCATAGCAGGTGGGCCGGAAGCCTCACAGAGTGCCCTGTAAGATGCCCGTAGAGGCCACAGCCTGAAGCCTGGAAAGGCCCTGGGAGGCCTTTCTGGCCCTTGCAGGAAGTTCAGCCCGGGTCCCCGGCAGGGACCGGGCCCTGGGGCGTTCCCAGGACTGGGGAGACTGGGGAAGCCGGCCCAGGTGGGAGAAGCCCCTCCTCCCACGGCCCACCCGTTGCTCCGACGTCTGGGGATGGCAGGGGCACGGTCACAGTCTCCTCACCAGCTTCTCCTGGCCGGGAGCAGAGCCTTTCACGCACAAGCCGCAGTGACTGATGGGAAGAAGGGCGGCCGTGGGCCTTTCTGCCGCTGAATGGCTTTTCTGCTTCGTGTTCGGCAGTCCCACTTCTAAAATACTTTATGATAGATTTTTAAAAACTCTCCGATTATATATTACCCAATAGTCCTTAATTACAGGCTACCACATAATTACATAATTATGGACCTTCAGGAATGCTTGTTATTTGCTCCCTAGTCTGTGAAGAGCTGTTATAGACTGTTTTGCAATTGTGTAATTAGGGATATTTGTTCAATGGTTGAGCCGGTGCAGTCTGTCCTGGCAATGCTCCTCTCCTCAGGGAGCGTTCTGGCCCTGGAGCGGGCCGTGCACTGGCACCCAGGGCGCCCGCGGGCTGGCCCAGGCCCAGAAGGAGCGACATCACGGTGTGCATCCTGTGCGGCTCCCTACGGCACCATTCACCTCCTCAGGAGCGTGTCGCGATAGGACTCGCGTTCCTGCTCCTGCGTCTGGAGCTAAAATGTCCGAGAGGAAGCTTGCTCTATTGTTTAATACTTGGTACGTGTGGAGTGTGCACGTGGAAGCCTGAGGCGGGTGTGAGCACGGAGGTGAGCAAGGCTGGGGGCGTGTGAGGCCTGGGGGCACAGACCTTCTGTGGCCTCTGCCACGGCTGTGGGCCCACGGAGACGCTTCCCCAGACCGGAAGTTGTTCTGGAGACATTTGCAAGATGCAGGGCACGGGCCGGGAGGTCGGGCTTCAGAATGCCTGCGGTTTGTGTCATCTAGCAGCGGGCCATGCACGCCGGGCTGGCACCCACGGAGGAAGGCTAGACGCTGAATGCCGCATCCAGGTGACTGGACTGCTGGGCACTTGGGGCTGGCAGGGCCATTGTGGGGGTCTGGCCAAGGTCACCCCTGCCTCCCGGTGAAGGCTCACCCCCTCCCAGAGGCGGGCTACCCACCGGGGGGTGTGGACCGGCCCGCGGGGGGAGAGGCACTCAGGAGACAGACCGCCTGCAGCACCAGACTTAAGCCAAACTCTGGTCCTCAGAGTGCAGCACAGCACATGCCCACCTGCCGTCTCCATGCAGGACAGGACAGCGAGGGCAGACACACAGGACAAAGGCCCCGAGAGGCCCCCTCCGCCCAGAAGCCCCCAGACCGCCAGGGAGATGCGTCTTCCCTGCATTCGACATCGCTGCCACGTGGGTTCCCAACCAAGACCCTCGCTCTTAAAATGAGCAGTTTCTTTGGGTCCTGTCCTGGCTTCAGGCCAGGGGTCCCCCTCCCACAGCCCCCCCTCCCCTCCCACTGCCCCCCTCCCCCCCTCCCCCCAGCTCCTGTCCTGTGCCTTCAGAGGAATTTTTTGATTCTGAAGTAACATGTGGAAGCAAAAGCGGAAATAAATTTGTATCCAGAACTTGCGGGGCACAAATGTGCCGGGAGAATGAGGCCCTGATGCAAATGCAGCTTCTAACCACAGGCCTCCCCGGGACATTTGATGTTCAGAGAGACACAATGAGCACAGATTGCAGGAATCTCTCCCCGTATGGGAGGAGGAGTGGAAACACATTGAAAATGTCACCGGCGTAATTCGGCGTGGCCGCTGGGAGCTCCGTGGCTCGCAGGTGAGGGAGCGGACCGGGTGGCGGGACCCGAGGTGGCCCCGCCGGCCTCCGGGGACCGGCCGAGGCTTTCAAGTGCTGATGTGCGTACGAGGATGGGCCATGATTTGGAAGGACTGGGGCGGCAGCATGGAAAATCAGAAAACAGAACAGACACCGGATTAGTGAGATGTTGGTGCAGCCAGGACTTCAGAGACAGTGTCTTCACTTCTTACCACATTAGGTAAATAAATAGATGTGATTAAAGGAGCAGGGTTTGGAGTTTTAATGAACATAAATTCACAACAGCTTGTCAGGAAGAGCGCTTTTTACAAAGCATTGTGCCCTGCTTATGACTTCAAGAGGATCCGAATGGAAACTATCCGCCCAAGCCTGGCACAGAACCCTCCTGCCGCCCGCGGCGACCGGAAGCTGGCGTTTCTGGGACCCGCGATGGAAGGATGAGGGGACAAAATGACCCAACTACCCAGGTGCTGGAGGCTCGTGCCTGTTACCCTAGCCACTCAGGAGGCTAAGAGCTGAGGATCATTGTTTGAAGCCCAAAAGCCAGAAAGTCTGAGACTTTCAGCTCCATTAATCACCAAAAAAGCCAGAAGCAGCGCTGTGGCTCAAGAGGTAGAGTGCTAGCCTATCTAACAACCTTCTGCGCCGTTCTACAGGGTTCCTGGGCCCTGAGAATTCGTGCACAGCCTCCGTGCATTGCCCAGTGAACGAAGGGAGCGGAGAGGCCTGGCTCGGCACCTGCCAACATTCTCAGGCACCGTTTTCCTTTACCTTAAGAGTCAGCTCGAATCTCTTCCCCGCAGCTGCCTCCCACAGACTGTTCTGCGCCGTGTGGTCTTGACATACTTGTCTCATAGGAGCACCCCGCACGAACACCACGCAGCAGTCCCCCATCTGTGTTCTTCAGGCTCAGCTCCTCACCGGGGACCGGAAGCCCAGGTGCCTTGCAGAGACCCTCTGAACAGTGGACCCTTCAAGAAGACATGGGGACCAACAGGGACCAAAACAGTTCTTGACCCAGGGACTGTGCAGATTAGAGCATGAAACCAATCACCATTGGAAAAGCGGGGAAAGCTTAGTACTCTGACTGGATCGCTGCAAATTGTACATACGGAGTTGGTTACCGTAATGTGCCCCTTTAAGGTGTGTGGCTATTAGGGCTTGATGTAGCTCAGTGGCAAAGCGCTTGCCTAGCAAGTGCACCGTCCTGGGTTCGATCCCCAGTACCAAAAAAGAAAAGACAAAAAAATACAGTTAAAAAAATAAATACCAAAACAGTGGGAGAGGTCAGGGAGATGCTTTAGGGAAGAGACCAAAGTAAGCATAGGAAACCTCTTGGTAAGTATGAGGCAGGCCTGGAGAGCCATGGTGCTGGTGGGCAAGGGTCATGTGGGCACCAGGTCTGCGTGGGACTGACAGAAGGCAGAATCTGGGGGCTCGGAGGAGGTGCCACTGGCTGCTCGGCCATTACTGAGCTGGGCGATGCTTCGGTAAATTAGGGGCTGGAGGGTAGCTCAGTAGCAGAACATGACTAAGTATGTGCAAGACCATCAGATTTCACCCCAATTCCCAAAGCACAGAAATAGAAAAACATACTTACTGGACCAGTAACCTGCCAACCTAGGAGCTGCAAGCCACAAAGGGTGAGCAACCAGATGTCCAAATATTTAGGGGAGATGAACAATCCATCACCTCCATCTTTCAGGAGCTAGGGGGCGTCGATACAGATGTGAATGGGGCCGGGAGGATGCAGATGTGCACGGGGCATTGGTTCAGATGCGCAGGGTCCTCTGGCACCCTTTCCATGAGCAGACGTGCGGCTGGCGTTTGGACAAGGGTCACGTGGTAATTGCACCAAGAACTGCAG